TTAGTGAAAAGCCGCGTGCGCGGATTTAACGTGAATACATGAATTGAATTGAATTGGGGGGTTGATGCAACCCCCCTAAGGTTTTTCGCGAATAACTCGCGTAAAAAGCTGCCGATCGCAACGAAACTTTCAGTACCTTCGCTTTGATCAATTTTACACCTGCCCTGAAAATTTCATGACCCTGACCCAAATGACCTTTGACCTGTGACCTCTTTTCCGAGACCATGTTTGGCCGGAATCGCGATTCGGCGTATACCGGGTGGCCCAGAAAAAACGTTCCCAATTTTAAATCAATATTTCTCAGAAAGTGATAAAGGTACAACATTGAAACTTCCAATAGTCAATACGGCATATATTTTCAGCAAATGGTATGATTTTTATGCTATTCGGTCAATTACTTTTTAAACGGTTCGTGTTTCTAGCATACCATGTAAAAATCACTTTTTTGCTCAGATGTTTACTAAAAATGTGAGTGAACGGGCCACTTCCATCTCGGCACCACGGCCTGCAGCCATGACTGCTACTGGCAACTAGCCTCATTGATGGTTCAGGCCTCAGGATGACACATTCCCTCTAGTTTTTTTCCTTATTCGGTCGATTTACTTTTTGATCTTCTTGAAGGGAGGGCGATCAGCAGTAGCCCATGCACCGTGCCGCTCCTTCTCTTCGAAACAGGACTTGTGTTGAAACGAATGACATCCATTAACGCAATTTTGGCTTAGCATTTGAATATTTGGCACATAAGTGGGACAAAAATATTTAAAATAACAGCACACGTGCTGGCATCATTCACGTGTTCTATTTTTCTAATTTTTTTCTAGCATGGTACGTCTAAGCCAATCATTACTACCGTTCAACAACGGCAAAAAAAGCAAAAACGTCTTACTGAATTCAACGTAAGATTGCTGGCTTGAAAATGATGGTACAGTGTTATAATTTGGCATACCAATGCGCAAAGAAGTGACGCAAACTTGATGAAAATTTTGGCTCGTTATTTGCACTCGAATTTGAGATATAGACCTCCAAAGTTCGGAACGTTTTTTTGGGCCACCCGGTATGTCGGCTCGCATTACCCGCGCGTTAGCAAGCTTTTCGTGGTTTCAAACGTTCAAACATGTGATTTGATGTTGCTCCCGAAGGTCAGGTCAGGTCATTGACCTTTGGTGACCTCGGGTGACCTCGGTTCACTTTTTTCGAATTTACATGTTTCTAGGCTAGTTTTTTAGCTGAATTCGAATTTAGCAACCATTTGAACATTTACGAAGTAGTTTTGGTGCCTTCGTAACATGTTACGAAGCTGTCAGAGGCGATTGACACGCATTACGAATACCCGTCACAGCCCCTACCGGTTGACCTGACCTGACCTGACCCGACATGGTCTAAATTCTTAAAGACATCATCTCTGATCAAAACTAACACGGTATTTGTGATCAGCACCCCGGAAAACCACATAGCAGCCACACTTTACGACTTTCTAACAGGTCCCGATTTTCCCGGTTTTCGGGTCATTGACCTGACCTGGAAGGTCACCCGATGACCTAGGACCTTAAACTCGGGTATCATCGGCTTCCTCTCGTGACGGGCAACACGCTCGTTTTTTCCGCGAAGCTCTAGATCGATCAGGGGCCAAACGCGAGGGGGGGTTGTACCAACCCCCCCCCCCCCGTCGTCGAGGGACGCAAAATGGCCTGTGCCGGCGAGGGTTAATGTCTTGAAAATCGGTGAATATTTTTTTTCGGTGAATTTTGATAGTTATTCGTTTTCGCTCTTTCTGAGCCGAGCGACATCACTTTCATGCAAATTCATTAACTTTTTCTAAGGTGGGAAGGGAACTGGGAGGGTCCCTTTAACCCTCGCAGTCGCCGGCACAGGCCATTTTGAGTCTTTCGACGGCACAAGGGGGGTTGGCACGGGTGGAGAATTGTGCTGGACTGGGGGTGCTCGAGCTCTTCCAATTCCACGCCGGCTTGGCTTTGGAGCCGCGGCCGGGCGGCGCGGGTCAAGGTCACCGCTAGGCGGCGGCGGATTTGCTGCGTCCGAGCACCCCCAGCTGGTCACAATTCTCCACCTATGGGGGTTGGTACGACCCCCCTCGCGTTTGGCCCCTGCTGACCTTACCCAAGCAAAGCATCGCTACCATTCAACGTGCCTGAGCTATAGGCGAAACACGATGATGCCAAACTCGCCTCTCTGGGTCCTTTTTTGCGAAATGATTTACCAAAAACCGAGCCGGTGTGTCACCAGACCCTTCGGACCGTAGCGGGTGCCGACTGCCGAAAACGGTTCAATCACTGCCGTGTATATGTTACGGCCCGTTTGAAAACCCGGCCCGTATTAATGCTGCCCGGCCCGCATTAATACTGACCGGAGACCTGGCCCGTATTAATACGGGCCGGTCAGCATTAATGCGGGCCGCCTTGCCGGTCGGTATTAATGCGGCCGATTTAGGTGGGCAGTATTAATGCTGCCCACCTTTTATTTCAAAACTTATCCGTCTGCTGCAAAATCAATTACATTAGCATGTCTTTATAGACGGCGGCTTACTGATAAAAGTTGAACGCCATGTGTAAATATTCGCCAACCCCGCCTCGAACCCACAACCATTCGATTACAAGACCGGAACAGTACCCCGAGACTAGCGAACAGATCGAAAGGCAGTGAATTGGGCAAGCAGTTGAAACTAGTGCTCGGCAATGATATGGAACAAAACGTGCTCGAGAAAATAGATGCTATTATACGTTATACGTGATTAAAATAGTTCAAAACACCATTTAGAGAAAACAAACGAGGGTATATCATAATTTTGTAGAGACAACCAGCAATATTCATCTAGACGTTGCCCAGGGTAATAAAAGCAGGTCTAACTAACACATCGCCCAAGGTCACCTCAGGGAGTGCCGACACTGCCGCGCGCCCATTTCTTCCATTACCGCTGGATGACCGACAGTGAGTATCAGCGTATCACGCATCTGTTTCATTATCTGATCTTACTAACTAGTGATCATAAAGAGTATGGCAACTTCATTTTGAAAATGTCATAATTCGAGGACTTTAGCACTGATTTCCACTTAAAAGATAAGGACGTTAATTTCTTTTGGGGTGAAGTGTTTCATGCTACGTGTAAGATATTTTGCTCTATTTCTCTAATACTTGGGAAGGTACAGTTCTTCAATTACAATTTAAAGTACTTGGGCACTTTAATTTGGAGAGTTCTCCCCCTAAAAATTATAGTTGATAGAAGTGTGAAGAAAATTCCATGCAACGTGGTCTTCCTCGATTGAAACCGTTAAAATAGCATTACTATTAACATTGAGACTTACTACAGTTTCGTTCACACCTTTTCCCTAAGCTCTAAATTGGGTACTTCTTTGTTAAGGTGTTCTTCATCATAACCATAATGATACGCTACTAAGCCATATCAAAATCAGTCCAGAGGTATTCTGATACCTCAGGAAAGGTCGAATCGACCCCACCTTTTTTAACGACGCTAGTTAACGTCCTCCAGAAACCTCAATAGTGAATGCGCAATCGGTCAAATTAGACCTTGGGAGAAAGAAGTAAGATTTTTTTTATAATCGTATTTACATGTGCTGAACGTGTAAGATCGTTTAAGAACAGGTTGATTTCATAAGGACATTATCCTACTTTGAATAATTGTATTAGCTTTAACGTATTTTCCAGCCCAAATAATTGCAGATAACTGAAACCTGTAACATGTTACAGATGTCACGCGAGGTTTTCTGGAGAAAGTACAAAACATTTTGCAGGGGAAAAGGAAATAATGTGAGGGTACACAGCGACGAAAAATACGCAAATGTGTTAGAAACACTAAAAGACTTCGAAAATGGCGTCAAACCTGCTCAAAACAACAAAATTGGGTATATCTGGGTGAAGCGTTTTGTACTGGAGACATGCGGTGATGCAGAAAGAATTTTGGAGAGAAAGTCTGGAAATGAGGTGGTACAGATGTCCAGAATGTTCGACGTTATACACGACGTCCACATACAGCTGGGACACGCTGGACGAAACAAGATGCTCGCGGAGTGTCAGCGTCGTTACTATAATGTGCATCGAGTGGCTATCGAGATATACTTGCAAACGTGTAAAAGCTGCGAGCTCAAGAGAGCACGGCCAAGGGACAAGACGGTCACGCGGCCAATTCTGACTGATGACGTTTCAAGACGAGCGCAGATAGACCTCATAGACTGGACTAGTGAGCGATCAGCTGGATTTGGGTACATCTTAAACTTCCAGGATCACTTGTCAAAATTTGTGATTTTACGCCCACTGAAGAAGAAGACTGCTCAAGAGGTTGCATACCATCTCCTGGGCATTTTTTGTCTGATCGGTGCACCGAACATTATACAAGTGAGCTGTTGTAGGGTTAAATTGGCAGAATAGTTCAGTTAAGATTACTAGTTTACCATAACAATTTCGTAATTAGTTGTCATAACGTGACTGTTTATTGCGCAATGCTATCAACTGTTGTAACTATTATGTCAGGTCTGTGAAACAACTTTGTATCGCATACTTCTTTCCCGGAACGTTTCAAATGTTTCCGGATTTGTTTCAGTCTGATAACGGTGCAGAGTTCCGGAACGCCTTGCTGGACGACCTGAAGCTGATGTGGCCACAGCTGATGCTGGTGCATGGAAGACCGAGACACTCAGTCACAGGTTGGTCAGCCAACACGTCATTCTTTCTGTCGATGAACTATAAAGGGGGCGGAGTCCTTTCTTCAACAGATATTTCCCCTTTTTGACGTAGTGCATAGAAATTGTCTTGGGTGTAAAAAGCACTCAAGCAATTCATTTCACTTGTAATTCAGTTAAAGGGATACGTTCAATATTAATTGCGATTATTATTGTTACATTTACTAGTCGTTAGCATTTGCATTTTACGCCCGTATATGTCGTAAAGTATCCACGGTCTGTTTGTTCATTACACAGCTGCATGTACATTGCACGTATATTACATTTCCACGTTTCTCCTGCAGGGATCAGTGGAGCGCAGCAACAGAGTGGTGCAGGAGAAGCTGAGGTGCTGGCTGTCAGAAAACCCTGGCTGCAAATGGCCTGAGGGCCTCCGATTTGTTCAGTGGGCGATGAACACGCAGGTAAAACAACCTCATTGCTTAATTTTCAGATAAAAACACCCTTACCGCATTAATTCATAACTCTAAGATTAAACAGTGTGTCGTTCGTTATCCATGGCATTTGATGCATTGCAGACATTCACTTCGCATGCCATTAAAGCCTTTTGGTGGCAATGGGTCGGTTTACGTCAGCCCCTGCCACAAATAGGTGTATCCAGGAGGCAGGAGGCTGCTAATAATAATAGGTGTTAACGATTTTGTTTCACGAAGTTGCATATTTATATATAAATACATTTTTTATTAAGCCATAGCATGTCTAGTGTTGGTCTTTTAACCCGCGCCGTGCTGGTGGCCTGAACTTTCCGCCGAGTGCTGGGGGGGGGGGCGTTTTCACGCCCCCCCGTCTAACTCGGCTCCTGGGCCACATAGCGACACGCGGTAAGCGGCAATCGAAAGAGCGTCAAAAATAAGGACGAAAACACTTCGGTCATTTTTTGGGTCAGGTCAAAGGTCAGGTCACCAGAGGTCACCAAAGGTAAAATGTTGACTATTTCAACATTTTGGAAACTGCCAACGGCTATCTCGGGAACCGATAGAGCTACAGCGCCGCGGAAAAGCGCATTCGATAGCCCTTTTACAGACCTTTCTGAGTAATGTCCTCAGATTTGACCTCAGGTCAACGGTTTAGCCTCCAGAGGGCAAAAACTCCAAAAATAGCCGTTTTTACGAAAAACGTTTTTTCGTCAATAACTTTTGACTCATAAGCGCCATGACATTACTTTTGCCAGCATCGTGTTTCTCTCGTCGAGACGCGTCGAATGAACTATTCGTTGACCTTGAAAGGTCATTTTGAAAATTTGACCTCAGGTCAAGGTCATGACCTGACCGAAAAGGGTCATGTTGCATATCAGTCGATCCGTATCGTCGAGCTGAACATATCTGACGTGTTTTCACCGCTCTAGCACGTCTCTATCAAAAGTTATAGCCAAAAAACTGCTGGCGACCGTTCATGACCTGAGATGACCTCAGGGGCACACAGAGGGGTCACAGGTGCATTTTTCCTATTCAGTGTGTCATGTTTACCTATGAACCGATGTTTGAGAGCGTTTTGAACGATATTCGTCCAAAAGAGGCGCATTTCAATTTTCTCCCATTGACTTATAATGGAGAGGTCGCAAAATTGACCTGACCTTAGGTCACAGATATCAAAAATCCGAGATATACATTTTATACATACTGTTACTCATATCAATCGCTGAAAGTTTCAAAGTGATCGTTCAGTCGGTGTAGCTATAGCGAGCCTGTGAACTTTTTCTGAGGTAAGGTCACTTGACGTGACCTGGTGACCTGACCTTGAACGGCCTAGGTCTGAAATTTTCACAACATGTGCGGAAATGATGTAGGAACACGTGTACCAAAAACGGCGGCGCTGCGCGCCGCCGTTTTTGAGATATTTGCGAAAAACCTGAGGGGGGGGCGTAAAAACGCCCCCCCCCCAGCACGGCGCGGGTTAAGCTCATCTTCTGTCATCAATGATGCTTCGTGTAAAGCTCTCTGACGATGTATTTCAACACCCGTTGCAGGTCCACGAGGGAATCAAAAGGACCCCTTTCGAAGCGACCTTTGGACAGAAACCTCATCTCGGACTTCGCGACTCCAAAATTCCCAGGAGCATCGCAAAAACCCTGAGAACTCAGCAGGAGCTCGAAGATCTCGCAGCAGCAGGACCGTCTCGTCGCGACGACTCACCGCCAGTCAGTGGGGACTGCCCGTCGGTCAGCAGGCCGCTGACCTCGCCGACTGCAGCGAGGCAGCCACCACCGGGAACAGGTTCGCCGTCATCGTCTCCGTCATCGTCTCCGTCATCGTCTCCGTCATGGTCTCCGTCATCGTCGCCGGTCAGGGAGTCGCTGCCACCGTCGCCGGTCAGGGAGTCGCTGCCACCGTCACCGGACAGGGGATCGCCGCCACCGTCACCGGACAGGGGATCGCCGCCACCGTCACCGGACAGGGGATCGCCGCCACCTCCACCGGACAGGGAGTCGCTCCCACCGTCACCGGACAGGGAGTCGCTCCCACCGCCACCGGACAGGGAGTCGCTGCCCCAGCCGCCGGACAGGGAGTCGCTGCCCCAGCCGCCGGACAGGGAGTCGCTCCCACCGTCAACGGGAAGGGGATCGCCGTCGCCGTCACAGTCACCGAACAGGAGGTCGCCGTCATCTCAGCCCACGCATCATCCAACGTCTGGCTCGGCTGAGCCGCAGCCAGGACCTAGCGGCCTGCAATGTGTCTCCTGTGGGCTGCGGGTACAGCAGGGGGACAGCTCCTGCAGGCTCTGTCAAAAAGCAAAGTCAGCGAAACGTCACCGCAGAGAGGCATCAGCAGCGCAACAGCAGCAGGCGGCCAAGATGCTGCGTAGATCGCGGCAGTCTCGCCTCCTTGTCGGCCAAACCGTGAGGCTCGGCATACCCGACGTAGACCGTGCCAGGAACCAGCCACCAAACATTTTGGCAATTATAACTGAGGTAAGGCACTATTGTTTTGGACAAAGCAGGGTAATATGCACAAGTCGTTTTATGCGCATGGATGTGCTTGTTTTGATTAAATCTTTCAAATAAAATGGGTAGTTTGTATTGACGTTAATTACCATTTTGGTAGGCACTTAGCCGTTCAATCTGGATGTCAATTTTGTTTCAAGTCATTGCTGGTCGATATCGCTAGTAGACACCTTCACCTGCATTTATCGAACCCATTTGTGCAAGGGGAGGTAAGGGAGGGGAGCATAGTATTGCATTGGTTTCTCTCTGGGCATAGTATGTTTCCACATGTTCGGCTCGTAGGTACTCACCACTTGTCTTTTAATCGTTTGACGACCCTTTTAGTCTCTCACACCAAACCTGAATGATGTGGCGCTGTGTAAGACCGCTATTATGTTTCAGGTTCGCGAAGACGGATACACCTTGGGTACAGAGTACGGTCGCCTTTCCGGAGTTTACAGTCGTGCGTCACTCACTCCATCAGACGTCGACTTTCTCACGCCAGAGTTCATCCCGGATGGCGAACCGGTGACATTGAGGGAGGCAGCGCGGCGTGCGTCGGGGGGCACCGGTCAAGGGATACTCAAGTGCACCTGCAAACGTGTGTGTCGTGGGCGCTGCAAATGTGTCAGCAGCGGACGGATGTGCTCCTCGCGTTGTCACAAGAGCAGAACGTGCAATAATAAGTAAAAAAAAAAACACACACTGTCTTTCAATGTTACTTGAATGAGATGACCGACATGCTCTATCGTCTATACGCTGAAGATACCACGAAACAAACATTTACTAGCCAACAGTCAAAAAGTATAAAAGACATTAAGACCACTGCAGGCCTACGCAGCATTTGCTTAGACATGGAATAGAGACTAGTTGGCTAGTTTTGATATGGCCCGAGTTTTCATATGGCCGTGAGGAAAAAAGTGGGCGGTATTAATACTGCCCGGCCCGTATTAATGCTGACCGCCAGGCGGCCCGCATTAATGCTGACTGGGGGCCGTATTAATACGGGCCAGGTCTCCGGTCAGTATTAATGCGGGCCGGGCAGCATTAATACGGGCCGGGTTTTCAAACGGGCCGTAACATATATACTATAGTGTACCTACTAGCCCAGTATGAATGTGTGCTAGTAACCTAACGACAAAAGCCCGGGTCGGATACCAAAAAACTCGGAGCACGGACAGCGAAGCAAGCAGCGAAGTTACCCAGGGGCTCCGCCACGGTTTTGGGATTGGGGGGGTCCCACCCAAAACACAAAACCTCGCTGGTGGATCCAGGGTGGGCATTTTGGGCGAATAACCCCCCCCCCCCCCCACCCCCTCTCCCTGCAGCTCCCGAAATCGAAGAAAAATTGCCGTTTTTTTCTATAGTTCAAAGAAATCTTAGCAATTTTATCGGGATAATTTTGCTTTAAACCGAAAAACCAAGGCTCAGTTTGCACAAGGAATCAAAACCCGATAAGCGGAGCCTATTAACACCGACATGGAGGCTTCTCAAATAACGATTTTGAGGAATGGAGGCCGCTTGTTGCGCGCTCAAGGGTGGTGTTAGCCATCAGACAGCGCATTAGCGTACACTGAAAAAAACTTACACCTAGAGAGTTATTTTTGGAGTTTTTCCACTCCAGTTTGGCGAATAATCACGCACCAATGGCATATAATGATTATGTTTTGTAGCGTATTCTTACTCTCTGCATTGCATTAAGGGCGTTTTTGAAAGTTATTCTTAAACCTGTTACTATAATCATCTCTTTTGTGTTTTAGCAAGTGCTAATTTTATCTTCTAATTTTATCACGTGTCCTTTTTATTATTTCGGGTTATAAATTTATATCAGTCTCAAAGAGGCATGGGGTAATTTTAGCTTATTTCACAGTGATAAACAAGGTAATTGGAATATATTTGTGCTGAACTCCCATTAGATGGTAATAAAATTGACAGCTAGAGTACTTTTATCAAAACTGCATAAAAATAAACCGCCGTGGAGTAATTAGGGTAGTTTTTATACTCCATTACGGCTGATAAATTGACGCGACAGAATAAAACTATTCTCATGTAGGTGTAAAAATTACTTCATTCGTGATAAAACTATCATGTCCGGACAATAATTTTATAACCATGGAGTAATATTATGTGGTAGCATTACTAACATTATTCTTCGGGAGTATTCGGGAGCGTATTTCAAGCAATACTGTATCACTTTCTTGATAATCCTATTCCGTTGTGACATAACTAATCTAAAAGTGATTAATCTATTCGTCCAGTACAGTATTATTCCAAGAATAATATTTTCGGAATGTCTCTGCAGTTCGCGACCATTCGCGACCGCCATTGTGCTCAAGTCGTCAGAACCAAGGCCTTCTGTCAGAGAACCGAGCAAGCGTCCCAGTCCTCGAAGGTAAGCTGAAATTACTGTATACTTTGTGTTTTGTTAGTATGACCTTACAGTAATCCGTAGTATGACCATATACAATCCAAGAAATGCGTATGTCAATTACCCTGATTTAGTTCAAGCTGTGATCAAGATTGTTATGTAGAGCTAATAAGTTATAGATTTTGTGATATTTTTTAAACCATGCAACTCACAGTGTAAGTAACAATATAAGCATCTCACTCAGGGACACTGTATGGAAATGCTCCAAATACCTAGGTATGGCAGGGGCGGCTCTAGGTGCTGAAAAGTAGGTAGGCAGGCACGCCAGCAGGGAGGAACTCGTCTAACATGTTAAGTGCAGGTTCACTTACCTGGTTCTCTCATTACCTGGTTGGGCTCCCTTGTCTGCTATCAGGAAAAGGTAGGCATGAGGAAGTTGGCAACCCTAACACAAGACGCACCAACGACAATTTATACAATACAATCAATACATTCAGTTAACAGTGTAGTTGGACTAGCGCATCTTTCAGTCGCAGTAACTTACCTGACCTGACCTTCCACAATGTTATAATGTTCACTTGATGTTGCTTGATGTTAATTCTATTCATTAATGTGATTTTTCGATGTTTCCAGGTGTGGACTGACTTGGGAATGATCATGGGGCTCGAGGAGGACGTGAAGGAGCATGTCCTGCACAAAATCAGACATACCGCGAAGAAGTATGCCCAGACGATGATAAACGTGGAGCCGGCCGACAAAGACGGTGAGTTTTGAACGGGCACAAGCACACCTTTTCGGATGAGGTGTTCCGCTAGCAACACATCGTGCCGGGGGGATACTCTTCTTCTATACCAGTAAAACGCCTTTTGGGCGAAGAACGAGCGAGCGAGATAGTGAGCCCTGCACGTGCGGAAGGGCGAGAAGGTACTTCCAACGGGCTTGTGCAAAGCACCCTTCTAACCGGTCGCTAGCGGTGTGCCAAATTTGAACGCAATTGGCCCAGCCGTTCCTGAGATCTGGAAGCGGCATCCTGCACGTGCGCACGTGCAAACGGGGTCCAAAATGACTTTTGCACAGCACCCTACTAACCGGTCCCCAACCGTGTACCAAATTTGAGCGCAATCGGTCCAGCCGTTCTGGAGATCTGGAAACGCCCCCTGCACGTGCGCACGTGCAGTAGCACCCTAACCGCAACACATGGGAATGCATTGCCTGGTGGGTGCCTACCTGTATGCCAAGTTTCAGCGAAATCGCCCCAGTAATTACCGAGTTGTTAAAAGGGGAACAAATTTGACACCTCTTATTGTTGTATTTTGCACGTGCACTGGGGGTGACCCACATGCATCGAGAGTATCCTATTTTTGGTAGAAGGGATGCAGCTACCCTACAAAAATTACCGCAAGACCATCGCCCAAGCGGCTGCTGAGATATGAGCCTCTCAAAATCACTACTTTTGCAAAACAGCTTGAACACCCTTGACTTTTCACGTGGCACGTGCCACGACGGTCACTGAGATGTATCAAAAATAGTCAATTACGGGGTAGAAAGGATGGGGCTACCCAACAAAAAAGACCGCAGGCCAATCGGTCCAGCGGTTGCTGAGATATAAGCCTCTCAAAAGCGTTACAGGCCGGGCCGGGCCGCTCATACTGAGATTTTTCCGTTATATTGAAAAGACTCACTTCGCTCGCTGCGCTCGCTCGCTCGTAATAACTGGGCTCGAGCCGATCATCGTAGACAATATATTCCTGGCCAGGGCTGGAATAATGTTTAGATCTGACTGATTTTTTTAGCGAATGTAAAGTTAGGCCCGAGGTATTTTCGATAAATACGAGGTCAGGCCAAAACATTAGCCAAGACCAAGTGAAGGAAGGTATTTCCCACGCATGCTTCTTCCTGCACGATGGAGAAATGACGTTTCACATATCCCAATGGTGTAATACATTAATAGCAGAGGGCAGGACAACTGTTTATTTTCTTGATGATTTTTTTTTTTGCTTAAAGGAAGACTGCCACCTTTTTTACACAAAACGGTTTTCACTAGACCTAACCCACCTATGACCTACCCTGAAGTCTGTTTCCCGAAATTCGGCCTAGTTTTCAAGATATCCGCAATTGGACTTCAGATTAAAGCCATCACAAATGTGTGGAATATGGAATGTAACTGTATTTCAGTTGAGACAAGTATAATAACACGGAACAAAAATGATAGACGAACGCGTTTCGGCTAAATCACCGTCATCAGCGTCTAAAAGGAGAACAAGAGGCACACATGCGGGTCTTGCAATAAGAAATACATCGGGGAGACGGGAAGGGGTATTGGAACGAGATTAAAAGAGCACAGACGTGACCTACGAAATAACATGCAACACAGTGCGTTTGTTCTACATGCTCAGAACTCAAACCATCTCCCATACTGGGACGGGGCAAAGGTACTCACGTCATGTAGTAATCGCGACAACAGAAAAGCTACTGAAGCGGCGTTTATTGCTACGAGTGATACCATTAATGTCAGGGTTGGTTTCATGAAGTGGGCAAAAGCAGCGGCGTTGTTTGGCATTTTAAACATCCACATATGAATTATGAATTGTGCAACACCTGTGTAAACTGTACAATGTGGCTATTCTCTTAGGATTATTTTAGGATATTTTCTCTTTGTCAAAGGAAATGTAACCACATTGTCACATGCTTGTTTAAAAGTGTATGTAAAAATCAAAACGATTGAACTGTGATATTTGCTCGATGTGTGCCTCTTGTTCTCCTTTTAGACGCTGATGACGGTGATTTAGCCGAAACGCGTTCGTCTATCATTTTTGTTCCGTGTTATTATGGAATGTAACATTACCATGTTAAAATCCCATCTCCCACACTTTTTGTGATGGCATCAATGTGACGTTCGAATGCGGATATCTCGAAAACTAGGACGAATTTCGGGAAACGGATTTCAGGGTAGGTCATAGGTGGGTCAGGTCTACTGAAAACCGTTTTAAACCGAAAACCGTAAAAAGGTGGCACTTTAACGACGGGCGGGACAACATGTTGTACCTCACCTTTGAACAGCCAATCGTCGTTGGTTTTGCTATTAGTCGAAAAGTGTTGTTTAACTTTAATGATATGAAAAGTCATGGTTGTCTCCATTCAGGTTGTCTCCATTCATGGTTGTCTTCATTGTCTCCAAATATACCACAGTTACATGCAGTTTGATACCTACTTGCACTCCATACTTAACCATGACAGCGGAACATCGGGTACTAATTTCTTATTTCACTGAAATATTTTAACGACGTATAATTATTTTGCACTTATGCACCACGTTTAGTTGTAAGAGTGTATCGTACTACGCAAACGTACTACGCATCGTACTACGATTTTGAGAGTGAAAAGAAATCAGGAAGAAGCGAAGAATCGTCTCCAGATACTGTAGATGGCATAGCCAGCTACTGTACGAACGCGGTTCCTTGTTTCTCTCCTAGGTTTCCTTTACGTTTATTTGTACGATATGCATTGATGCCAACTGACTGCAATATTCTTTTTCACGGCAGACGACGAGCTGCTAGCTCTACTTGCCTATGGTTGTGGAACAACCATTGGCACCTTGGCGGATCCGAGAAACGGGGTTCGTCAGGCAGGTGAGGAACTATCGGTGGACGGTGTGGTGGTCTGCCAACTGCCGGCCACCAGGTTGGAGACCGTGGCCCTAATGACGGCCGCCCACGCTGTCTTCTACAAAAAGTTCACGGGGCCCTGCAGGGCCCTGTTCGAGATTCTTTATACGGAGTGTGGGATTCGATGTAAACCTATCTGGCTTATCACAGAAGGTGTGGGAGGTTACCCAGGTAGTGTAGAACCAGCATCGGAGATGCCCACTTCGAATGACTGGCGACCTGTGGCTCACCTGTGGTTCAAGTGACTCGTGACTTGTGGCTCACCTGTGGCTCAAGTGACTCGCAACGTGTGGCTCACACTACTGGAGCCTCTGTATTATGACTAATTCAGCTGCGGCGGTCTCAGTACGTCAATGAGTCTCAGTACGTCTTTCATAGCCCAGGTCACGCTCGTTTTATATGTCATCCGTGGCGGTGATTCTGTGCGCAGATGTTATTCGTTAGCCTCAGTGTTAACCATACACGCTCGTTTTATCTGCCATCCGTGGCGGTGGTTCTGTGCGCAGATGTTATTCGTTAGCCTCAGTGTTAACCATACACGCTCGTTTTATCTGCCATCCGTGGCGGTGGTTCTGTGCGCAGATGTTATTCGTTAGCCTCAGTGTTAACCATACACGCTCGTTTTATCTGCCATCCGTTGCGGTGGTTCTGTGCGCAGATGTTATGCGTTAGCCTCAGTGTTAACCATAACGCCCTTGTGAGTTGTGACCTTGAACGTCCTTCCAGTGATTTCGCATTGCGGCCGGCAGAGACGAAGTTTTGCCTCCCAGTTGAGACGCCGCTTCTCAACTAGGAAGCAAAATTACGTCCCTGTCGGCCGCAATGCGCCATCACTGGAAGTGCGTCCAAATTAAGATGTACCTGCTGATGCTCAGGTACCATTCGTTAATCAATTGTTGGTGTTTCAATACATTGTTTAAATGCATTCCTTATTTTACACTTGGTCATAATATTATCACATCACCCCGCATTATCAGGGGTGGTACTTTTACACCGGGGCTTGATTTTACCGGGGAGTTACTCCGGGGTAAAATTATCGAAAAAAGGAGTGCTTTTTGGCATGGCAATATTATTCCCCGAATGGGAGTAATTTTAGTATTAAGTTAATAAAATTATCATCTGGTGTAATTTTATCCAAAGATAGCATACTTTTATCCTCCGTCATAAAATTACTCCCTAGCACGAATGATATAAGCGTTCGGATACTAAATATATTCTATATGCTAGTTTTATTCCCCAAAACTCCCCATTTTAGGCGCTTATGCCAGGTCATAAAATTATTCGATTGCAGGAGTGCTTTTTGGCATTCTAAAATTAGAAAATGGGGAGTAAGTTTTTTTCAGTGTATGGTGCTCGAAAGACCGGCTTAGCCCCCCCCCTCCCAACACTATCGGGTGACCTCACATGGAAAGAGGATTCTCAGATCGATTTGAAGCTCTTTTGTCCCCGAGGCCATTATTATACTAAAATGGTATTATAATGACACTCTCGTACATAAAGGTCGGCAAGTGTTCAGCACTTCGTGTGTCACAACATGAAGGGTTCCCTACATTTCTAGATCTTAAATTCCAATCCTTAGCTTTGCGACTGTCAACACATTCTAAATTATTCAACACATTCTTTGAATGAATTAGTCATTCTTACGCGAAAACAAGCTTATAGGTATTCGGAATATTGGGGGGTACTGTACCCCCCAGGTAAATTATTGAGGGGGTCCGGACCCCCGCGTACCCCCCTGTGGCGGAGCCCCTGATTAGTTACCTCGCCCATAATATCTGCTTGGCAATGGTACAGGGACCCGCAGTTGCTACTGTACACATATATTACCAATTTAGAATTGCGCTATTATTTGCTAAGTACTGGCCATTGGAGAAAGGAAATGTAGCGCAAAGTATGGAGGAATAACACATGTTTGCTCCTAGCACGTATGTTTTGTATAATTCCTCTTACCGCAACAGATATTCTTCCAAAACTACAATCGTGCTATTTTTCCGCGCCGGTTGCCTCCCCAGAGCCCGTCCTTGGTATCGCCTATAGCTTCCGTTCCCGCTACGTGAATGAAAGTCACGTGACTACTACAGGTTTGCGCTCAGTACTAACACACCTAGCCCGAGGGCCGGTCCGTAGCGGGGAGGGGTAGAACGCCTGAGCTCCAGCGCAGTGGAGGTGGTGGTGGCCCGTATCATAAAGAGACAACCGTAAGCAAAACTACAATTGCCGCAGTATAAGTTTATGATCAAGTTTTCTTTAAATGTATTGATTGACAAGTAAGTGCAATGCTTATCCGATATAATAAAACGGTATCCAAGGCCTTGGAAGAACTATAAAACATATTCAGCAACGTATAAATTTCTGATACAGGCCATGACCTTTCACCTTGCCTCCAGGGAGGACCGCTCAGGAAGCCACATACCGAACGAATCGAGGCCTCGCAGCGCGGCGGCAGAGGAGGTGGATTAACCATCGCCAGATCTTTCGATTACTTATGTTTCCAGAAGAAGGAGGGGGGGGGGGGGGGTGGAGGGTGAGGGCTTTTTTCAACCCACTCACCAATCCTTTCCTTATTAACCACACCGGTTTTGAGTAAACTTTAAGCATTGGAATTCAGGCCAGTGATCCTGAAGCATTATTTTATTTTTGTCGTGCATAAGCTGGGATGACGTGGTCCGAGTTAATTGCGAAGAAACGGTTTTAGTTTCAGAACATTTATGAGGCTAGTCGCGCCAAATAGTATACGTTTGTTGTAAAATGTCAAATAGAATGTTGACGAATGACGTGCTATCCAGATGATGGAATTTATTTGACACAAGAAGTAAAAAAGTGGCATCGTTAGTCATCCTGCATACCTACCTATAAATCGATTCGTCACCTTGGTTCGAGCTCAATAGTTCTTTATGCGGATGATCGGTTTCGCTTTTTTTTGGGGGGGGGGGGGGCAGTTTATGAGCCAGTAACCACCCTCCCCAGTCCCCCCAACAACAATTGTTGACAAATACTGTGATGGCCTAAAAATGCCCTCAATTGTGTAACGTAGGGAAGAATGAGGTAAGTTGAGCCGCCTTTTGTTTTTCGTAAGCTACAGGCTAACTTACTCATCATTTTTCTGCGTTTACGGGTTGGGCGGACAGAGTGGTCATTTGCGCATGTAATGGTGGCCAGAAATGTTTCATACCGCTTATTTTTGTACTGAAAGGCTACGTCAAAAATCATCTTACACGTTGCTCATCTTACCCCATGGGCGGGGTAAGTTGAGACACGTCGTGGGGAAAGTTGAGCATGGATAGAAAAAGCGAATCTCTTCTTTTCCCGGGCGCGGCGAAGAGTGGGCTCTTTTATTTACTCCATGGCATAATACTTATGGCAAAGTTTTTTCCTCCATCAAAAAGTGACTGTTTTAAGCCTTCCAATAACTCGTGAAGTTTTCTATCACGGAAGAAATCATTTTATCCTTCAGATAATCTGCAAATCACTTACAGTTCTTGTGTAATCAACAAAGAAAAACAATTTCCTACCATTTTTATTCAGCAGAAACAAGCACAGCTCAGTTTGGCTTTCGACAGCGGAGACAATGGCTTATCCGGCTCATCTTCCCCCAGGTGAAAATGGCTCATCTTGCCCCACCCGTGGCCATTTTCGATTTATGACACCCGCTAAGGAAAATAACCATGCACCGCAGATAACAACCATCTCATTTAGGCAAAACATGTCTTAGTTATCAGGGGCGATACCACATGTTACCGGGTGCTGAGCGTGAGAACGTTGCCGTCTCACTTGAAAGACTGCAGTATCGTAAGCGAACGGCACATGGAAGCTCAAGTCAATTAGCGCCATAGGAGCTGATAAACATGGGGTGGCTAAACTTGCCCCTTGGCTCATCTTACCTCAGTCTCCCCTATTTGGGGCTCTCAACATTGATTTGTTTAAGTTATTTGTCTGTTCATTATAAAAGGCGCTTACATTGTTCAAGAAGTTATAGTGTTCGAGCTCGTTGGTCTTAAAAACTGCTATCGAAGTAAATTAAAGTGCTTCGGGCTTCGGCACTTAAAAACCAATCGATATTTAACCCTCACCTATTTAGGCATTTTTTCAGCGTCTTACATGTAGCGGAGGGGCGTAGAAACCCTCAGCCATTCGGCCCTTGATAAAAAGAGCCAGAGCTTCGCTGAAAAATAAAAAAAAGAGCGAGCTGCTCGTGACGAGAGAAATCCGATGATTTGAGGGTCCTGGTCATCGCTGACGAGAAAAAGCCAATTATTTTTATGTTCTGGTCAATGCTGAGATCCTAGGTCACTGGTTGACCTCCCAGATAACCCAAAAGCACGGAAAATTGGGTCCTGCTAGAATTTCTACAAGTGAAGTTTGCTGGGACTTGGCTTGCTTCTGACTCCGAATTTGCACTTGCTTTGATCAAAGATGATGTATCAAAGCATTTGGGGTAGGACGGGTCACGCCAGATCACCCATTAGGCGTTCTGCCGGCTAATGTTAACGAGCACTTACAGCCTTGCAAGATATTGCATAGCCACTATAACTGATACCTAAGTATGCCTAGTTTTCAAATGCTAAAATGGGTGCTAAATTTCAAACCAACACTTCCTAAAAACCACAGTAAAAAGGTGTAAATTTAAGGAAGTTAACCGAGATCATTTCAAGTAAATGACCTTAACCTGAGTTTCACGTGACCTTGGCACCCACAACAATCAATGAGACAAACATTAGATAGTATATTTCACATGTTGTCACGTTGCTAATCACGAAACGACTATGGAAACACACAGAAGATGTGCGCTGACTTTCAATTGCTATTCTGGCCTGACATGATCTTGAGAAAAATAATCACAGGTTAAAGGTAATTTGGTTCAGGGATTTAAAATTCTCAGACAAGACGCAAAAATGATAAGGGCTATTAAATTTTCCGGGAAGATGTAAAATTGATTAACTCCAGGGCACCAAAGAATCGTCGCAATCCTTCGCTTTGCCGCGATTTATTGGTGAGAAACAGGGGGCGCGGTCTACTTACCTCTACTTATATGTGTGGTGAGGGCTAATATTCATTTTATCTGTGTTGATGAATGTGCAACAATTTCTATATGAACTGAGACCAGTCCATATGATTATCCCTCGCCCGTAAACGGCGATCTGCCACCTTCGCCCATGCAGGGGGGGGGGGGGTTGGTGCGACCCCCCCCCCCTTGGCGTTTGAAAACGGAGCGTCGTAGAGCTTAGCGGAAAAGACCAACGGATTGCTCTCGCCAAGATCTCGCGATTGGTGGTATATTTTTTGGTCCTAGGTCAACATTTGACCTACTTTTGACCAGTCAAAGGTCAAATTTTCGGAAAAATAAACTTTTTTTCAACTTTCCGCGGCGATTGCGGCAAAACGGTGAGAGATATCGACTTGAAACCTTCACTATCGTGTTCCTTGATCAATTCTCTATCGTTTGGTATGTATTTCGTTTCCCTAGCTCTAAAAATGGCGCGTTGGGAGCGCCGGAAGTCGGCAAGGTCACAGTCGGCGGCAGAAATTCG